GAACAAAAGGGGATCCAGTTTTGGGGATTTAGGAGTTCCAGTAGTTCAGGGTTTGGGGAGTTCGAGTATCAACCTGCCTGTAAGAAAGCCCTGGTAAGAAAGGGTTTCTTAATCACATCGCAACATTGCACCCAACGGAGATTGATCTCAAGCCGAAAAAAAATGTTCCTCGCTGTCGCACTGCACGCTAAACTGAGGACACTCTGCCTGTCTGCATCTAGCTCTCAGGGCTAAAGACCTAAGCGCCAAGCCCCCCAAACTTTCGAACAAAAAAACCTTCGAAGGCTCACGGTGCTATCGAAACTCTCTGACAGAAGGGCTCCTGTGCTTTAAGCTCGGCTTCCGGGATGGCAGCCAGCCTGGGAAGATGCAACTTCGTTCTTGACTTCGGGTTTAGGGTTTAACGAGTTTCTTCCCACCCACTGAACTGACCAGGTCGCGCTGCAAGGAGCACACTAGCTGAAGGCGCGGCTGGGAAGGTTTGGGGCTGGGGTTTGCGGGGTTAGCTTTCGCGCTTTGATGTTTAGGGTTGATCGGGTCTGACTTCTACCCTACCGTTTGAAATGAGGGCAGCAACGGCGTCAAGGCTCAGGACTGGCTCAAACACCAGACCCTCTAAGCTAGAGATACATGGAGCGGGACTGGCGGAAGTTTTCTCGCAAACTGAATCCCCTCAATCCCCTCAATCTTATTATACCCTGATTAGGTTTGAATGCTTCGGGTTCAGAGCCCACAGGCCGCTAGGAGATCGTCGTGGAAAGGATAGGCCATTGCACAAAAAACGACATAATCACCGCTCATGGGAAATGGCGGAACGTGGGTCATAAGCCTGCTAAGTGGTGAAACATCGTAGAACGAATAGTCTGACCTCCGTTTACTACTCGACGATCCCTGATCCGAATTCTCGAAATCCTGAACAGACGTGAACCAAACGAGGGTTTACCATCCTGGTTCCAACCCGGAATCCGGACCGTAAGTGCTCTTGGCTCCTACACCTTTACCAGTTTCAACTTTCCTCGAAGGAGGCTACGGAACCCTAAACCCTAAATTCGAGAAAGCCAAACCCTCCAAACCCTCGAAGTGGTGCCAAAGTCGGTCTACCCTAAACCCCAAGTTCCTAAATGCCTAAACCAGCGAAGTTGTGCCAAAGTCGGTCGACCCTAAACCCTAAATTCCTAAATGCCTGGTTTAGCCTAAACCCTAAACCTTAAGTTCCTAAATGCCTAAACCAGCGGGGTTGTGCCGGAATTGGTCCTCTACCGGCCCCCGGATTCCAAAACGAGCTCCAAGTTGCGAGGTTCCCGCGTTCCTTGCGTGCAGACGGGCGGTTCTCTAAACTCCTGGGCCCCTTTCTAGGCCCCAATACAGAGGACGCCACTCTTAGATAGCAAGGACACTAAAAAGGCCCGAATAGTATGGAGCTCTGATTAGATCAGCCTCCAACCTGGGGGGCTGCTGTAAGGGATCAGGAGCCACTTCGGATGCATCGCTTCAAGGGACTCAAGAAACAGAGGATCACTAAAGACCTGGCGGCATTTCAGCACTACTGGGCCCTTTATCCCTGGGCTTCCGGGTCTAGTTGAAGGCCCTGGTCCAACACAATAGGGAGTCTTGGCAGCTGAGCTCTTTTGGGGGAGCCTCTTGAAACACTAGATTCTAGATTGAAAGGGGCCGAACCTGGAGGGTGCGTTTTTGAGAAAATTCGAAAAGCATCCCTTGGATGCAGCTGATAAAAATGCCCTCTTCGTTTCAGCTCCGCACGAAAACTTGCTTCAAAACTGAAGCTTTCTAGATTTGTTTATCAAGCCGTATAACTATACTCAAAAAAGGAGGAGGCCTACGATCGACTTCTGTATGTATGGCTGGCTCTTGACGATCAGGCGCCCCTCATATAGGTCATTCCCAAAAAGAAGCATCTGGACTCCTAGTGAGGTCTTCCTCCTGAGCTTGAGAACTCCCCTTGAAGCCTGCCTACTACACCCCTGGATACCTGAAAGCCCTAAACCCCAAAACTCCGGGTTTTGAGGACCTCCCACAGACTGCAGGCGTTAGGTGCTCTGTATAAGGTGCAGAGGGAGCTGGAAGAATCCCAATAGCTGCCATACATGGGCTTATATTTCTTGAATGGGGACCCTTCGAGCTTTTAGACAAGAGGAGCTGCAACACCAGAGTTCCGACAAGCTTTAGTATCATAAAGACCTCCAAAGACCCCGCCCCCACCCCTGCGGCCCAGCTGCTTGACGACTTTGCTCGGAAGCTCTCCGCTGGAGCGAACCTTTCTGTGGCCCATGGCAAAGCTTCAATCTTTGGGAGTTTTAAAGTAGAGGGGCGTAGAGCATTTAGGTGCGAGGTTTAGGGATGCTGGGAAACACTTCGAAGCGAAACGGCTTTTGCAGCAGGAACGTGACACCAGAAGCCATGATTTGCCGGACTCTTGGAGGAACCCTACATCCGAAACCTCTGAACATGGGCTTGGGAGGTCGCTCTAAGCGGTGCAAGCTCATTTCTTCAATTCCTGAATCCAAAGTCCTGGCCCCACATGCATTTACGAGTAGCTAGCTCTTGAAAACCACAAGTCGAAATCCTATAGTCACTACATTCCCAAAGTGTCACCTGGCATTGCTCTGGGCACTGGGCCGTCAGCGCACCATCAAGCTCCAGGTCGTTCAAAGCAACCTCAGCTGCCAACAGCCCCCCGGCTACGACTTCAACATTCCTACACCCAACTTCGCAACCCCACAAACGAACCCTAACTCTTGCAGGCTCAACCAGCAACCCCTCCTGCTGCTTGAAGCCCCTCCCAATGCAGGGAGCTATAGTACAAGCACTTCACAGCCCTGGCACAGTAGGATCTCAGAAACCCCCAGTGAAGTGCACGCCCGGTCGCATCGCCATCCACCACGAGTTCTGACTTGTTGGAGATGGTGATGGTACCCTTGACCTTCTCCTGTCGTCCGTGGGCTCAGGGATGCCTAGAAGAAGCACCTTAATACTTTTTGGCCACCCCACACAATAAGAGAAATAATACAGGGTTGAACGGGCTCGACAGTATTCATCTGATTCATCACAAGGACTCAAGACTCAAGGCTTTACCTCGAGGCTTCAGCTTTGCACAGGAAATCCCGGAAGCCCCGACGTGCGAACTTCGAAGACAAGCAGTGTTAGCTAAAGTCACGCCCTTTAACCTGAGTTGTAAAACCCTGCAGCACCTAGCCGCTCCAAGACCCTGAACTATGAATAGCTCGGCGTCGGGCAAACGTAGACCAGTAAGTAAGGAATAGGCTCACAACTGCAGATGATTCTACCCCGCCCTAAACCTCCCTTTCCAATACTTCCTAAGTAAACCTAGGGCCCCAGATTGAAGACTCGAAGCTGCTTCACGAGTGTAGAATGGGGTCCAGGCCCACGCATTAGCGCATTTTCAATGGCAAGGTTCTCCAAGTTCTCTGGACAGTACTCCACAACTTCAACAAGCAAAACTCTCAACCTCAAGCTGTGCCCAATTTCACCAAGGGAATTTCTGAAAATGAGTGACCTTTGCGAGCCTGATTATCAAGACCCCTCCTGAACAATTCAAGGCACAAAACGCGACATCGCGGGCCTTCATCTGTTCTAAGGAGACCGCGAAGGATGGCTGCAGCACGATGCGGGCCCCTACCTGACGCGAGCATTGTCGGCGTGGTTTTGATTCGAGCCCAGCATCATCAACAGTCAAACCCGTAGGATGCGCAACAGTAGGCTCCACCCCAAATCGACTTTCGTGTTTGGGGTGGGTCTTGTGCACTGCTCCTGGCTTTAAGGTCCTAACCTTCCGCCAAGACCCTAATTAACAAATTAACAACACCCTCAATTGATTCCCAGTCCTGCCTGGGCAGTGATGCCAAGGAAGTTGACATCAGGCCTGAAAGCGTCAAGGCCGCACGATACTTCGTTTTGCCTTTTGCCAGGATCCAACAGAACATATGCAGGCTTCAAATCCTGCAGAATCGATCTAGGGATTCGGGCATCAGGCGAGCAGGTGCAATCGATTGGGGATTCCAGGTTGCGTGCCATCCTCCGCCCAGCTATTCACACAGGCCGCCGCAAAAAGCATCACGCTGCGTGCCGAGTAGCGGGGCTTCGATTTTCACCTGCATGAATGTGGCCAAGTCTGCTTCACACATTTATTTCAATCTTGGCATAGAATTGAACGCTGATGTTCTCCTCCTGGCCAAGATTCCCAGCTGGATGTGAGCTGTCTGGCGTACGATATAGGATCCTATGAAAGAAGTCCTCCCAACCCTTTCTGAACCCAGACTCTGATGATCAGAAACCCTAAAGTCCTAAGGCCCAAACCTCGGGCGTTTTGCAGCTTCTATAGGGCTTTTTAGCAATGGCACTCACCGCGAGCCGGCCTTCCCTTGCCCGGCCAACTCCAGCAACCGCGCGTTGCAGGCGTAGATGTCCTCAGCATCAGAACATCCTTGGCCTCTCGCTCTCTCGCTCGCTCTCTCNNCTCTCTCTCTCTCTCTCTCACTCCCTTTCTCCCTAGCTCCCGCGGTTAGAAATATGACATATGAAATATGTGTTCTCGATTGCATCACGTAGGTGTGTGATGCCGGGGCTGGTTGTATACTTAAGAAATCAGTGAAATCAGAAACCTTCAGCAGGACGAACCACACGACACCACATGTGAAAAGACACCGCTCGCTGAGCCAATGCCGGAATCGCCTCTTAGCCCTAACCTCAATAACCCCCAAAAACCAAAACATACCAAAACCAGCAAAGCACCCCAAACAGCTCAAACCCAAAGGCATGATTCCGCTCCACCTCCTCCCTCAGAACTTTAACACAAGAGTCGATGAGCTGCGACAGCTTTCGCCGCTACTCTTTGTTTCAAGCAGTGCAACAGCTTGTCACGAGGGGATAAGGACACCAGTTCTGCTCAAGTACCCGGAGAACATTCGTGAGAATATCTATGTAAGGGTACCGGAAAATAGCTTAAATTGCTCTCTGGATTATCATGCCGAGCTTTCTTTGCAAAGCCATGGTGCAGCCTCAGCAGAGAGGGCACAATCCTCAGCTCCCGGAATCCGTGAATGTCACCACCAAAAGAAATAAGCAACGGAGAAACGGCAAATAACGCCGAATGCGGCGCATGATTAGGCGAGAGTACCAAAAGCTGTAGCAGGAACACTGACACCGTTTTGGCCTCACCTGCGGCACGAAGTCCCAAAACTATGGCAAGATAGAGCCTCATGCATAGCAAAGAGTCTGGAGGATTCTTCTTCATCGCATCGGCCAGGTTGTTCTTTACGCAGGTAAAGCTCATCCTGTTAAGCAGGGCTGTGAGGCATGATCCGAGGCGCTGGTACCCTGGAAAAGGGCTAGGGGGTCTGCAAGGAAAGTCGTGATGTGGCGCGCGATCACAGCAAAATACCAGCGCCATTAATTGATTGAAGCGCTCTTTTTGCTTGCCGTTTTGTTGAATTAGGCAATTTAGCTTGCCAAGGTGCAGTCTCTCGAGCTGTGTGAAGCCAACCTTGCTTGCGCTGCTTTCGTGCATCCAGGCCGTGACTTCAAGTCTTGCACTGAAATTTTGTTGACTCCTTATGGCTCTCTCGGGCTTTTCGTGTCACAAGTGCTGCGTTGAACCTGTCACATGCTGAACCAAGCCAATCATCGACACCAAGAACTTGCAAAGACAAGCTGCCTTGTCATCCTGGCGAGGCGTGTGGCTGAAGGGATTTGGGTTTCGCATCTTGATGTGGCAGGGTATTTCTGTTGTGACGCCGTGGCTGCCCTCACTGTGGCTTGCAAAACTGCGGTAGGTGCTGCTTTCAACTGTGCCAAGTCTGTAACAGGAGAAAACGGAGGTGAGAAAAAAAGCTGCCACAATCAGAAACCGGCGAAATGCTAACGGGCGTTCCTGCCCTCTAAGCTGAAGCACGGCCAGGAGGCATGGTGTTACCGCCATGCTGGGTGACACGGCAGGGTTCACAGCAAGTGTTCAGTAGTGACCACTACAAGTCAAGTATCCTCCAACAACTTGTACACTGCCATACCTGTACCTTCCATATCCAAGTCTTCCCGCGGCGAGCCTTTGTGCAAAGCCGAGGGAAGTCCTGCATCATGCACCTGATGTCAGCAGTGTAACTCGGGCTTCATATGAACACATGAGCTAGGTAGGCTTCTTGACTAGACGAGTTGATTCGAAGCATGCTTCTTAGCAAGCAGGGATGTAGACCAATGTACATTGCAGACGCCAGTCGTACAGAACAGTCCCACAACAGCCCGAACACCAACAGCCGGCCATCTTCAATCTGCAGTGCAGTCTTGAATCTGCAGAGGGTGAGGCTTGAGTGGTGCAGAAGAGTCAGACAAGTGGAGGTTTCAAACGCGAATCATGCGGTGACAGTCAAGGCATGAACCTGGCAGTCAGTTATGACACCGTCACCCCACAATACAAGCATGACCCCGTTGTGCCGAACCAAATGACTGGCTTGCTGCCGCGGTGCTCGAGGCGCGTCGGTGACTTAAACTTGCTCTTCTCGGCATCTGCCCACTTTGGGTTCACGAACTCCTTGGGTGGACATCCAGAGTACTGCTGCTAATACCGGCATCATAATCGTCATAATGGTGTTCAGCTCTGCCAGGCAACTTGCTTGATGACTGTCTTGACTGTCCTCATTCCTAGAATTGTCACGAGTATCGGGCAATCCTTCATCTCGAAGGGAGAGGCTCTTGTGCAACACGGCTCCAACAGTGTTTTCGAGTGTTCGAAGAGTGCTGACAGTAATTTGCCTCAAGAACATCCTATTTCCTACCTCTTGGGCGTGAGACCTCGTTTAACTTCGTTTGAATACTTGGACCCTTGCGGAGGCAGAGCTCTCGAATGCCAACATCCACCACTTTCTAGCGACCTTGGGCGCGGAAATAAATGCGGCCAGGCCACCGGAACGATTCCACCGGTTGTGGCGAGCCGCTGCGCCATTGTGCCAACATGGAAAACCTCAAAATATAGAGCGCAGGGGCTTGGCTCAAGGATCGAGAGAAAGCCAAGGCTGATTCATCCTCATGAGCCCAAAACCCAACCATCTCTATGAAGTAGTGCGTAAGTAACAATCAGGAGCATCAGGAGACTCTCGAGACTGAAAACTCCCTCAGAGCCAAGCACTTTTCCAGACATCTAGCTACCGTTCATCGCAAGTCTGCCCAGACCGAAGAGGTTCGGAGAAGGCACTAGGACATTGATGTTGCCGGGGTAGGGGGAGAAGCCGCTCGCGTCTGCCACATCCCCACCAGCCGGAGTGTCCTTCGCCAAGCAAGAAAAGCGCGAAGCTCAAATCGTCTCACGCTGCAGTGCACCTTATCTTGACAAAACAATCACGCGCTAGTCAGACAAGATATGTTTGCGGACTATGCAAAAAGAGGCGGAGGCGAATCAAGCAATGCGCATCTCCGTCTAACACCGTCCTTCAAAAGTGGATCCAGCTGGTTGTATTCGACGTTGATGGTCAGGTCATCACCCGAGGCGCCTTTCCTTTGGAGTTAAAGGTCTGTGACGATACTCAGATGTTCTGAATATTGAGCCCGACATCTCCAAACCCCTCTCAGCACGGGCACATCTTCGCTTCGTCATGCTTGCGGGCGATGCGAAAGACTGATCAAGACATTCAGCTTGCAATTCGTTGTTTTTTCGTAAGCCATAAGCACTCGAGATGAGTTGGCTGCAAATTGCTCCTCCTCCTGATTTCGATTAACATTGAAGAAGCTCCCGTGGCTCCCGTTGTCTGGGTTGACACTTGCGCCTGCGGGAATAGAAAGCCGTAAGAAGTCAAAGAGTTCCTGCTGGAATCTCAAGCAACCTCCGACTCTTATCTCGGGCACTTGTATCACATGCTATAATCATAGTTTGAATCATAATCAAGGCCTAATTTGAATCATAGTAAAGGCTCCCTAGATGTGCGCTCATTATAGTCATAGTGTTTATTACTTTCATAACCGGCCGTGGCTCAGCTGACAAATGCCGCCCACTGCTTCGCCAGGCAGGCGCGGAACGGCGACGGAGTTCATCGCGAAGCCGCGGCTAACCTCAGTGGCTATGCCCATGTTGGAGTAGAGGATGCTACGACTCTCAGTCAGGGTCTGGGGTTTATGCTTTCTGCAGGATTCAGGTCAGGATGTTGTACTTTAGAGTCCGGGTCCAGGAGTGCACGACAACAGTGTGCAATTCTTTGGGGCAAGGTTCAGCTGCAATAAAGCATGCCATGTTGGCTGCTCATCCTAAGCAGTCGAACCTATTCGGGCCGGCTGTGTTGGGCTAACCGCTACGCTGTAGTGCTTGTAGCAGCTGGGAGTTCCAATTCTGCTATCTTCCAAGTCTGCAGCAGCAGGATCCAGTGATAACACAACATACCAGTTCCTCGTGAAGACAGAGTTGCCGCCTGCGGCCAAGGAACAGACACGCCCAGAATCGCGCAAAGGCTGCGGAAGGGCAGTGGGTTCGTGTCTTGAAACAGCAGAAGCCACTCTCTGCCTGGAGGGGACTAGCGAGTAGGGCGGAACACCAACAACGAAGTCCAAGCAGAATCAACACTCTCTGCGAGAACTCTGCCCTTGCAAATCCCAACTTCAACGAATTCCGGCCTTCTTTGGCCCACTTGGCGGGCAAGCCATGCTGGTGGAGCCTTGCACAATTCATCAACTGACACCCAAAAAGCCCTCGGCACATGCAAGTGAGGCAATCAAACAACTCCAACGACTCCATCCGCAGCCAGTGATTGCAGGCCAGTGGGCAGTGCGTGCACATCGCCATGGCCATGTGGCTTCTTCTCCACGTGACCGTCCTTCGAGAACCGGCCTACTTCCAACTGGTCGGTGAGTATGCTGTCCGGTAACGACGAAAATATGTTGACAAACAGGAGGCAGGTGGTGATGGTGGTCTGGTGGTGGTGGTGGGGAATGGGGCAGCTGCTGGGACCTTCCAACCCGTACGGTCACTGTAATTAACAAGGCAGCGTCTGGTTCTATTACCACCTCACCTTGGCCAGTGCTGAAGTGAAAAGGAGGTGGGATTGGCAAAGCAGAGACAGCGAGTATACCATATACCGGCACTGTGTTCCGTCCTTGACAGCGATTCGAGCCTCGATATCCATCAATGCAGGTACCAGCTCCTGCTTCATGATGGTCACCTGCTGGGAGATAAAGCGACGATACTTGCTATCGTTTTGCAGACACTCACTTGCCAGCCCATTACACGTTCGTGATTGGCCGAAGTATCCTTTTTTATGGTATGCAACCAACATTCCAACATAGAATGCAGTCTCACACACCAGTAGCACGGACTGTTCCCACTTTCGATCATCAGAGATGTCCGAAGCCCTTCCACGAAGTACCCAGGTCGTCGTGACTTTGAATAAAATAAAGTGTCCGTGCATAGGCAGGGCACTCAAGCCTGCATGCAAACAGGAGCGCTTCTTCGAAAGTTCAGGTTTTCACCCAGGTGTCATGACGACATCCGATCCAGCTAGTTTCCGTCCCGCTCTCAAAAAAGTGCCATGCCATAAATTCACACTAGCGCTTTGATGCTTTGAAAACATCCAATGTGTACTCAGCGCGGACTGACCTCTGCAGTGGCTCCTTCGGATATAAAGGAGCGTATGTCAGACCGAATTTGCAGCAGCCGCTCCTTCGCACATTTCAACTTGTGATCCTCTTGCAGCTCGAGTAGCTGCGACTCCAGTTCAGAATGGTAATGCCCTGTCAGGTGCCGCTTATCATGCAAACGAACACACATCCGCCTGATCTCGATTGCTCGGTCCAGTCCATCAGTGCTTAAACGTCGGTAGCGACTTTGATTCCCGACCAGCTGCTGAAGGTCTCTTCGGACCTTGACAAAATTCCCGGCACAGCTTTGCAAAACCAACCTTGCTGATTCGCGCTTCCCCCGTAGACCTGACAGTAGCAGTTTGGCCAAAACGAACTTGGAAGCCTCGGTATTGCATATAACCAGCACGCCATGCGGCCGCCGCTCGTAAACTGCGCTGCGAATACCATTGTCGGCCAGGAAGCGCTGGATAGAGTGCAAAACAGGCAGGAACTTCTGTTTGATTTCGAGTCTTAGACATCCACCAGGACGCAGGGCAATGCAGCCTTCGGCATCAAAGAAACCAGCCAGGTATTGCCAAGACGGGCACGAGGCTTCTGCAGGTGCTTTTTGCTTGAGATTCTTCAGCGTTGCAGCAGCTTCGGCACGCAAGCTATTTTCTTGAGGCCACGAGCGTGCAATATCCAGCTGTGGCCGTTTGCACAATGTGCAGGCGCTCAACAGAGCCGCCACCTGCTGGACAGTTTCTCCAACAACATACCATTGCAGAGAAGGCCTGCATAAGCCGCGGGCGTGGTGCTCTCTAATGATCGATCCGCCAAAAATATTCCGAAAGAAAAGGAGTACTGCACTGTCGGACTCCGTCTGCGAAACCGCCAGTCTGATGCGCAAGTTCCCTCCGGTGGTGACGCACCCGTCTCCATCAAAGAAGCCAGCTAGATAGCTAAGCACGCGTGGCGGCACTTGCTTGCATGGCAACGCATCCTTGGCGGACAGTGGCAAGCAGTACCTTCGACCACAGGCCTCAAAGTGGCGTGCTGCAGGGAGGTGAAGGCGGTTCTGAAGCTGTCGGAGCCGATCAAAGCGACGCTGCAGCTGCTGAAGGCTGAGCCGTCTGCTGGCACACATGGGCATTCTATAATTGGCATTTCAAGTTCGTTCCGTCCTTCTCCACTTCGCCATGGTGAAGCACTGCTGTAAATTCGTTGAAGCCTCCCGAGATTTACCATCCGTGTCTGAGCAGCAAGTGCCTTCGAATAACGATGTGGACATGCGACTCTCATGCATGGTAGCAGCGGTGCACGGGTGCTGCTTGTGTAGCAGCGGTTTTGGTGCAAGGAGCCCTGATCCAGCCCGACTGAGAGATGCACAACGCAGCATGCAAAGCACTATTCATGCAGGTGCCTGGCTCGTGCTCAAGCCGAAGTAGGCGTTGGCCTCGAGAAGCTCCAAGGTCTTTGCATTGGTGTCGCCTTGGGCTCAACACCGAACCGTGCTAAACTTCCGAGAGATAGTTTCAAGGGAGGAGGGGCGAGGGACTTTATCGATGCTGTCCAAATTGGGTATCCTTGGGCCAGGACGGCCAGCATCAAAAGTATTCTTCAGCGCGGCACCGCTGCGAGCTAAGCGAAGTGTGGGACTGAGTGAACATGAGTGACCTAGTCATAGCTAACTCACGATCAGGGTCACCCTAAGTGTCGCCTGTGCCGAGGAAAAAGAACAAACAACAACAGCAATCCTCATCTCGTAGCCCAGCGACCTGAGGTCATGATTGCCAGAGGGAGCTCCAGGGAGCCGTCTCCAGTGGCTTTTCGCGCATATGCCTTGCGCGCACATCGGCTCTCAGCTCATGTGAGTGGTCCTTTTTTGGCCAGCTTCATGTCAAGTTGGCTTTGGTGATGCCTGACTGTCAAGGCTAGGTAACACACGCGAAATGCTTGCAGTAAGGCCTAGAGAACACAAACGACAAAAACCGACGGTAAGGGACGACGACTCTTAGCAGGATCCATGCTACAAGGCCTAGAACCAAACAGGACAGCCTGGCTGTCAGGGTGCCTGTGTCGAACGACGTAGCCCGAGCCGTCGTCGTGAGATGTCCAGATCATGCGACTACACAACTGAATTGAAGCTTTTGGATTTAGAGATGGTGGGGGTTCCAGGACCCTCGTCTTACAGATTCCCCCCTCAACCCAGCATACTCCCCACACCCACCCAGCTTCCGCCTGAAACGCAAGGATGTATTTGGCATAGAGCTCCATGAAGGTCCTGAGAGCTCCAGATCTGCCACATCGACCATAGACAACTTCACAGCCACAGCAGTATGCAATGTGACCTCAAAGGAATGCTTCGAGAAGTTTCGCTTCTGCGAGCCGTAGGCACGCAGAGTTCTGGGGGGGTTTTTCGGGCTGTGGTGGAGGCTCGCAGGAGTAACTTTAGCAAAGTATATGCACTTCTCTCCTATTGGATTGCCAAGGGACACACCGGTGGTAAGCTCTGCTGTGATGCCGATCTTGATGCCAGGATAACCTGTGCCGTGCCAATACAGTCTCTGCCATTCATAAGGGCCGAGTTGATACACTCGAAAAGCTATGTATTTAGTTTCGTCGAACTGCGAGATTGGTGCCCCAGTTGCAGGGTTCCCAGCCATACGCTCACAAGAGGACATTGACGATTGACGATATCAGGTCACTCTAAGAAGTCTTTCTCGCACCACACACCTGGCCTAATCGCTCACCAAGACCACCAGCCACCAGGCAGAAGCATGTCTTGCTGAGCTGCTCCATGCCCTGGCATTTAAAGGGACACCAAGCGGTGTGTCCTCAACTGCAGAAGCCTTCTTGAGTGCGAAAGCACCATGAGATGCATCATCCAATTCCAAGGCAACTGTATCTGCGCATGGTAGACGCTCCTGATGCGAAGTACGGGGTGTAAATTTTCAAGAATGCTGCATGCCTTGCGCTCGAACTCTGCGTAGCTGGCTGATCCTGGCCCTGTCTCACCTGCACAGGGCACATGTGGTGGTGCAACATGCAACCGGGCAGACTATCGAATCAGGGACATGAGCCCATACAGCTCCACCGCAAATAAACCACAACTGTCCAACGGAGATTTCGCTGTTCACACCACATCTTCAACATCTGAGAAGCCCGGCTTTTCGCAGGCACAGCAGGCTTCAGGCCCCGATCCATGAACAGACACACCGTTTTCATCACTAAGCACCACACACCAAACCCGTGTAGTAATTGAAAGGTCCTAAGCAACCCTACAGCCTGTGAGCCGCTCGCCACTCGGAACCTCCGGCTTCAGCCCCTCAAACGGGTTCCTGGGCTATCAAGACATCTGGTCTAAGGCCAGGGTTTGGACGCAGCTCTCAAGGAGGGAGCTGGGCTGAAGCTTCCGAGGAACCCTGGGATGATACCCGAATTAAAGAGGACTCCATGGCTGCATGGCTTGATGTCTGGGAGCTGGAGAACATATGAATGCCCTGGTGTCAGGCTGGGGCAAGCATGTGAGGCAAGTGGTCTGTTTATTGCTGTTTATGGTTGCCACAAGCTGAAGGCACGCGATAGTTTCATGAGGCCTCGAAGCTGAGTTGTTTCCGTGCACAGGGCACATGGCGTAAGGGAGCTACTCAGGACACCTCATTCTCAAATTTCTCAAGAATGCAGTTGATCGTCGGACAGCAATTGCAAACGCGTCTTGTGAGCATGTTCAGTGCTTCATGCATGGCGAACTACCCATAAATGTGGCACCATGGTAATCAGCTTTGCAAAAAAACCTGCATGGAATAGCGGCAGCTGGGCAGCTTTCCAGACTTGGCGTCCGCCAGGAGTGTCCGTGCGCGCTCGAGGTAGCCCTTGAGGCCTTCAGACTCACGATGCGGAAAACGCCCTCAAGGACGACAGTCGTGGCAGTTCTGTATCTGGGCTGTTCTTCAAGCCAGCCTTGAAGTCTCACCGGATCGAAAGTGGTTTTGATCTATCCGTCCAAAACCCGATTCCCACCATAGGGTACATGTTGACTCACCTCTCCTAACCTGCAGCACCTGGATGCGCAAACAAACTTGATCCCGAAGGCTGCATCTGCAGCACCCGAAGTGAGACGTCTGAATCTAATTTCTACACCATACTAGTCCCGGAACAGGAGCCCAGAACCAACTAACTGCAATCAAGGACGAAGCGAATGATTTGCCGAAGACAACATCCCCAATGGAGCTTGGCAAGTTTAGCGGCCTATGGACCACATGCCGGTGTGCCTTATCAAGGCCACGAATACCGATCCTGCTTCGTTGTTCCGTAGCTTAGGGCTTAGAGCTGCAGCCTCCTCCGGGCAGCTTTCCATCGAGCTCGTCTAAGTCCTCCCAAACTTGGGTTTCATGGGTTTAGGGTTTAGGGGATGGACACACTACGAGATGGATGCAAGTCATAAGTCGTGGACCTTCAGCAATTCTCTTATGCAGGGCTTTGATTTGACGGACACCGTCGGGCAACGCTTGGAACTGCAAAGTTTGTCTAAACCGAAGAAGCCTTGCAATCCTCTTAGCACCAAAACAGTAATTTCACGGCATCGCGGTCCCGGATGATGCCCTGCTTCTGCTCGGCTGAAAGGCCCTCGAACATGTGCGCCTCGGCGCAGAGCTCTAATTAGATCCTTTTTCTTTCTACTAGGTTACTAGGGTGTCGGGAACAGGACTGCGGACATGGAGATAAAGGTCACGATTCGAGTCGCAGAAACGAGCCTGCACATGCGCAAGCATTTCGGAAGCTGGGATGCGAAACCCGGCAAAGATGTCAAAAACTTATGACATGTAGCCATTGACCGGACCCGCCCGCAAAACCACTGGGTTGGACCCATCTCTAGTAACCTTTGCCAAGTCCCTATCCCTGAAACCACGACCCGACACTGCAAACCTTGCAGACTCATCCAGCACCTAATATGGTACCCTAAATAGTAGGAACCCCATTAGGATCCCAAACTAAGGTACCCTAAAAACCGCCTTGGCTCCACCGGCCTGGCTGAAGGGCGGCTCGGAGAGCTGCGTCTCGGAGAAGAGCTCCATGGCCGTCATGGTTGGCAGCCGCCGAGCCTCCGGCGCGGTCTTCTGTCACAGTAATAGATATATATATATATATAGATATATATAGATATATATAGGTACACACATACATATATACATAGATATAGATAGATAGATAGATAGATAGATAGTACAGGCGAGGACTCACGAGGCCTGGTCAATACGGAAAGGGTCGCAGAGTATTCCTATTGAAAATCAGACAGCTGTTGCGAGAGATTGCTGAGGTACAGCCCTTCGGCTGTTCTGTGCGAACCTATCCGCCGGTCACTGACGCAAGCAGGCAAAAGGTGCCGCTAGGTGAAAGAAACTGCACCAGCAAAGCTCGTGATCCAATCTCCTAGTCACTCATGACCCCAAGGGGCCCTATAGCACTGTTTCAAGGAACTGCATTCTTAGGTCTCGGACTGTGCAAAAGATTGATCGCGGTGTAAGCTCAGCACGCGCTGAGCCACCAGACGCCGCGGCAAACGCGCAAAGCGCGACCGCATGCAACAGCTTGAGCCAATGTGACCACCGGGCGCAGCGAGTTCAGACAAGCACTGAATTGTAAAATGCTTCGTCGAGTTGCAAACCCAAGGGCGCTTTTGGGATGTAGGGCTGGGTTGGTACGGAGGGCAGGGTGAAACTAGTATAGCCACGTGCGCAACGGCTACGCAGTGCCATCAGCCTCAGACCCTGACCAGGTAAGTCAAAAGCCTTGAATCTCACAAGCGCGCATAAATCCTGTAAGCCAACCTTAGGCACCTCTCCTGGTCTTTGAACTGCAAGGCAGCAAACCCCCACAGGGCTTCGGACCTCGGTATGAAAGGAGTCGAAGCTCCCCTTCCAAAGCCGTGCAGCCGGTCTCTGTTGGTGCTTTTCAGGGAGCCATCAATGCGTTAATATGTTGAATTGAATCCTCTACAGCTTGCAGCAGAGCTCCAACGACATAGGAAAGTGGATGGCTGGTCTTTTGGCAGATGCGTCGGCCTCCACTACGGGTCTTCGCTAGCTTTCTTCTCCGTTTGGGGTGTATAAATATCGATAAAGGTCCCTCATTCTTGCTTCGGATGCATAATACAAACTACATGTTATAGTATGAGTCGAGTCGCACGTCGGAGTAAACTCAGAATTACGGTCTACCCTCAACCGCAAGCGTGTGCTTTATGGAAAGGCTCAATGAACCCGGCGACTCTATCGAGTCTACCTACTGCTTCAAGCTAACTCGGACCGTCAACCCTGAAACCGAAGACACGCCCAAAATCCCCTAAGCCTAACCCCTGAACTCTGCGAGATCTTAACATCCGAAGCCTGCGATCCTGGTCATTCCAAAACAGAAGCAGTCTGAACTCCCCAAACGAGAAGCATCGCAATCTCAAAGCCCCGAGTCTCCGTCCCAATCGGACTTGCCCAAACTCCAAAATACCAGTACCATATCGAATAGAGTTTAGGATCTAGGAGGGTGTAACCTCCAATGTTGAAAAGCCCAGAGGCAACTCCTTCATCTTCATCTCCGCCAGTCCCAGAGCGATCTGTGGCTTTTCGCGCTTGGCTTCCGACTTACAGGGGCATGACGTTTATGTTTATGTGTTTAAGGCTACTTTTTCAGGGCTTATTTCTTTCTCCCGAGTGTCGATATGTTGGGCCATTACGGAATTAGCCCTCAAAATTTATATCCACTATGATTTTGGGGCTCTACAATTCCATAGGATGATAGTATCTATCTATCTACCAACCTACCTACCTATCTGTCTGTCTATCTATCTATCCATCTATCTATCTATCTATCTAAGATCTATCTATGTATTTATCTGTCTATCTATCTGTCTATCTATGTAACTATCTATCTATCTGTCTTCCTGTCTGTCTGTTTATCTATCTACCTACCTATCTGTCTAGACGTCTGCAAGATAAAACGGGAGACATACAATAGAAACTTCCAGCCTCGCTCCGCACCGCTGTCAAAGTACCTGCCCGGAAACACTTCCTGGGTTCCGTTTAGGACCGTTCAGCCTAGAACAGGAACCTACAGTAGAAATAGGGCTTCCTGATTATGGCAACTTAACACAAACTTCTTGAAAAAGAACACACTGGGTTTTCCATCCGACTCGACGAAAGCCCGTGTTTTCGTGTAGTGTGTAACTTTGAGCTAAGAGGGTAGGAGACTATGCTTCAAGCCAGTCAGCACGCACGGGATGCCACAAAGACCTTACACCTACATGGAAACATTCTTCTTGTAACAGAAATCATAATACCATAGAAACATACACGACGACACGGGGAGATCTGATCTGTGAGCACTTGCGCAAACTTTCTGTCTCCGCGAAGCTAGAAACAGATTTAAGAATGAAGATCGGGCTTGCCAATTACGCTTTCCTATTGCAGCGTTCTGGTCCCACTTCGACAGACCTGCGTTCTCCACAAGCCTTAGGGAAGGCATCCTGGTTACAACAGCCTCCTCGCTCCAACCAAACCTCCGAACTCTCCAGCCCCTTCGAAGAACAGAGCACATTTGGGGATTCCTCCAAACTTCTAATCATGATTTTGAGAGTCCTGCATTTTTTGAAAAAATTCTCTGTCGGGGGATTGTCCTAGTCCCCTGCTGTTGTGGGGCGTCCCTGGAATGGGGACTGGCATGCAGGTAGTGTTGTAAAGTAGGGCCGCCAAATCGTAAAAAGGGCACTCCTTCTTAGAGAACTACCCATGTGAAGAACATTACAGAAAGCC